GGTCCAGTAAGGATCATCTCTTATTGATCCAGTGTTACTACAGGAGGAAACCTAAACTAAACTAACTTCATTTATACTGGATAGCTCTATCAGTTCTAAACTGTTCTTCCTAGAGGTCCAGTAAGGATCATCTCTTATTGATCCAGTGTTACTAGAGGAGGAAACCTAAATTAAACTAACTTTATTTATACTGGATAGCTCTATCAGTTCTAAACTGTTCTTCCTAAAGGTCCAGCGTCCAGTAAGGATAATCTCTTATTGATCAAGTGTTATTACAGGAGGAAACCTAAACTAAACTAAACTAAACCAACTTTATTTATACTGGATAGCTCTATCAGTTCTAAACTGTTCTCCCTAGAGGTCCAGTAAGGATAATCTCGTATTGATCAAGTGTTATTACAGGAGGAAACCTAAACTAAACTAAACTAGACTAAACTAACTTTATTTATCCTGGATAGCTCTATCAGTTCTAAACTGTTCTTCCCAGAGGTCCAGTAGGGATAATCTCTTATTGATCCAGTGTTACTACAGGAAGAAACCTAAACTAAATTAACTTTATTTATACTGGATAGCTGTATTTCAGTCCTACACCATTTTCCTTGGAGGTCTGTGCAGTGAGGTCCATGTCTTGTTGGTCCAGTGTCCTTGTTCCACCAGGAGAAAACCGGAGTACCATAGAACCAGCTTATGATTCCGTGGTCACCACGCTGGCCTTTCAAGCCGGGAGACTGGGTTCAATCCTTGGTGGGAGGGGAATCACAGATGTAAACGATACCTGGCATGCACACAACTGGACCATCAACAATACTCCAATTAAAAAATCTGCCTTATTAGACAATTCTCTTATTTCTTAAGGATATCAAGACAATCCGTATTGATGGAACAATCACCAGTGTTGTCGAGAGAGAAAGTCGTATTAATGCGTTCCAAACTGACCCATCTTACTCTGTGTTTCTATTAACCACTCAGGTTTGTTACTATGCTCATCTATTCCCCAGAATATCTTTTTCAGGTAGTTCAGACACAAATCACGGCAGCTTACTGTAGAATACTACCTACACTGGACCACCATGTTTGAGATATCTTTTTCAGGTAGTTCAGACACAAACCACGACAGCTTATTGTAGAATACTACCTACACTGGACCACCATGTTTAAGATATCTTTTTCAGGTAGTTCAGACACAAATCACGACAGCTTAGTGTAGAACACTACCTACACTGGACCACCATGTTTGAGATATCTTTTTCAGGTAGTTCAGACACAAATCACGGCAGCTTACTGTAGAATACTACCTACACTGGACCACCATGTTTGAGATATCTTTTTCAGGTAGTTCAGACACAAATCACGACAGCTTACTGTAGAATACTACCTACACTGGACCGCCACGTTTGAGATATCTTTTTCAGGTAGTTCAGACACAAACCACGACAGCTTATTGTAGAATACTACCTACACTGGACCTCCACGTTTGAGATATCTTTTAAGAGGTTGTTCAGACACAAACCACGGCAGTTTATTGTTCTGGAGCCCCACGTTAGAGATGGAATTAATCAGATTATATTTTTCAATCATCCGTAGCTAAAATCTTATGCCTTCCATTTTATTGTTTTAGGAGTACGACTTACGAAAGGAACATCCTGTTCAATACAAAGGCTACAGGAACGGTGGATACGTAAATGGAGCCGCGCCTCGAATGGCTGGCAAAGGGGGATCTTTGGGAGCAGTACCCTTGTACTAAGTTGTACACGCCACTGAATTTCATGAAGACAACTGAGTAGATTTAATGGATAACCTTAAAGAAAGTTTATGTTGATCTTTAGACATGTAATAGAAAGACCTCTTAGAACTGTAATTGATAGGTATTTTGCATTATTTTCAAATCTGTCTACGTTTTTGAGATGTTTCAGTTTGATATGCAAATTAATTTTGACGTACTTGGCAGGGCTGAATTTTTGAAATGTTGAAAATGATGGCATGTTTGGATTTAAACATCTAGAATAGAAACTGATAGGCAGATTTACAACATTACACAACTTTTGCCTAAAACTGTCGCATGCAACCTGCTTACAACTTGAGTTGTACTGTGTAAATCAAACACACAACTTACTTACGTTGTCGTAGGTAAGTTGTGTGCTTGATTTACACAATACAACTCAAGTTGTAAGCAGTTTGCATGCGACATGCAGTTTTAGGCAAAAGTTGTGTAATGTAAATCGCCATTTTCAGATGAAAGATTAAAGAAGTTATCATTATTCCCTCATGAGAATAATCATAACAAAAAAAAATTTTGACAATTATTACACTATACCTGTGACATGAATACATACGAAACAAAAACTTTAATATCTCAAAAACGGAAGAACACAATAAACAATTGTAAAGTAATACTAAAGAAATGTGTTGAAGACAAACTATACGAATAATACGCTTTGTAAACCGTACATGCCAATTAATTCTGTACATCATCAATACACATCAATGGTAATATTACAGTTTATTTACTTTTTTAAAAGTAGTTTGGATTCTCGATTGATAATTGTGGGCGCTTGAATCGATCAGGGCCGTGGGGCCCACCCCCATTATTAATTGCCTCGCCCATGAGAATTTTATTTCTTTTCATACTTTATTTCTGTCTTGCACAAGCATTTACAATCAACTTATGTTATCCGGAACAGTGTTGTTACATTGATATCATGTATATATCAATAGGAACAAAAACCAATCCATTCTGAATGCATACCCAGCAAAAACTGTTTAAAAAAGGGGGATCTGAAGTTGTTAAAAGTTATATATAAAGTGCATTACAAAATCTTGAAATTTTAAATATGAGAAATTCACAACTTTGATAAGAATTTCTCTCAGGAAACACGGGAAATGTTCTGTCAAGACTTTGGAAACGCAAAATTTTCTGGGGGAGCATGCCCCCAGAATCCCCTTGGTTAAGTAAATTGCATAACCGTATATACTTAACTTATAAATCATTAATAAAGATAACCCTTGCATCTGCTAAATCATTATACTACTTGACCAAAAATGTGCTCATAAATATACTGCTCAGCTCATATTTCCTGCCCACTGTTCATATAAATAACGAAACTTAAAACGTCCCGCCCTTCTCAGCCGCGCATCTGCTAAAAAGAACTGGGGACGAGATTGTTCCTGTTCATTAAAATATCGGTCGGTTCACTGGATTGCAATCTTCCAAAATTTGAGTTCAAAGTTTCTGTCATTGTAAATCCCCGAATATTGTAAAATTTAATATAGATCAATGTGTATGTACTGATATATATGCAACTCACGTATGGATACCGTCAAGCAAAATATTTCTACATTGGTTCATGCTTAAAACATTGGTTCATGCTTTCTTATGGATCTAAGAACGTATTAAATTGCTTCACCATTTATTTTCACTATTAAAAGAAGTTATAAAATGAAAAGGACTCTCGCAGACATATAATATTTACCATAACCATATGAATAATTGCTAATTATGTAAACATTCTTTGGCTGCAAAACATAACATATCTTTATATTATAAAATCTGAATTGAATATCGATGAAAGAAAATGTATATTTATTACTCTGTAGGTATTTCAACTCAAAGAAATTATGAAGATTGTTATAATAAATGCAAAAAACCTATAGTATTTACCGCATTCAATTATACATCGTATGGTCCAGCAATCTGGTCACAAAACAAAACTATTTAAAAAAATGATTAACAATCACGATACAAAATTGTCGCAGCTTGACTCCATGTTGGAATGCCACCTTTAGAAATTCAATTTAATTTCGCAAGGATTCAAAACAGAGACAAAAATCTCAAACCTTCGCCTATTTTGAGCGATATTTTTCCCTAACGGCGAAGGTTTTTGAGAAGGAGAAGCCATGAAGAGGGTCGTTGTACCAAAGTCAAGCTCGGCGTTGTATCTGTTGTTCGCGGAAGGATTTTGTCTTCTTCTTATCGCGGTAGCTGTGATTGCCTGTGGTTTTGTGTTAAACTATCATGATGATTTCGACTACGATCAAGTCAGTGCTGAACACGACTATACTCAATATTGGGTTGGTTTTGTGGTAAGTTTCGGGCACTTTATATATGGTGTGGTGGGCATCGTCAAATGAATTGACACTCACGGTAGCAATGATGTAAATGTTTCATCATACATGTATTTGAAACACAAGGAATAGTGAATAAATTAATATGAAATCTTCGCTTTGATAAGGGTGCAAATGCTTCAAATATACAAGGCGAAATTTGACATAGTTCGAACGAAGGCCTTACTAACTTCCGGCAAAGACCCTTCGCCAGAAACGTCGAAGTTCTCCTTGTATTTTTCAGTTAGTTGTTGCCCTATCAATCTGAAAGCTTTCTTATCATATTGCCACTACTTCACTGGCAAAGACCCTTCAAGAATAAATTAATCATCCCCATGCATAAGTGTGTTTCGTTTCAGAGTTTATACCACAATGTCACCCTCATTAACCTTTCAGTGTTAGATCGGTGCGGTCCACCCTCGATAAAAATTGTCATTAATTCATTCATTCATTCATTCAATGTCACACTTAGTGAAATTCACCTCTTTGATGGTAAGGACATGATGGTCAAATTCACATGTATTAATTCACACTTGTACATGATGGGAACCAGCAACTGCAAAACAGTTTCCATGTACTGCATGTATTTGATACCCACCACAAGATCAACACATATATACAGTGAACAATATTTGAGTCACTCTGTGAATAATGAAGGCTTTTTTCGGAGTCATCGTTGTGTATTTTACGAAAATACACAGAGGTTCTCTTAATTATTCAAGTCATTCTAATGATAAATGTGTTTCATTTCAGAGTTATCACCATATTTATACACCGTGTTACTTGGTTTAGTTAGCATATATGTCTGACAAGATTAGAATGTATCTTAGTAATGTTTGGCAATGACTACAAAGTAAATATTTCAATTCAATTATTGATAGACTATTCAATTTGTGGAATGTATGCAGCAATCATATCAGATCATGTATAGCAAAATATATTATAGTTTATCGTTCGGTTTGGGGATTTGTTAATTTATAATTAAACTTAGCTTGATATAAAAAAAATAGAAATTACTAAACTTATGTTTCAATTCAGTCAATAGAGTCCTGCAATTAATGGAATGTAGATACTATTTCACGTATCAATAAGTTTGTTCACATACAGTACATGATAAATGTTATCGTCAGTTAGGGATGTTTATAAAACCTAGCTACATATTAAGAAACAGAAATGTGCAAGACTTTAATTTTACCGCGGTGTAGCTTTCAGAATAAAGTAAAACGATTGTGCACTCATACATATAAAATAGTTCTGGTATTTTCAAACAATTTCATCATTCCTTTAAAGACTATTAGTCGGAAGTATGTGTCAGACAATATCAGATATTAGAATGGAAACTATATATAATTTCCTGACAGGTGCCATGAAAAAATACCATCTCTAATATGTGGTTCGCCAAAATTTCTTATGCAACCATTGTATAAATAAAACTCATTGAATATCATACTTAATCTAGTAGAGATATGCAAATTTATCGCAGGGAATAATTGAGTTGTCACGCCCAAAAATTGCATATCATACTGAAGAAATTCATTATCATTAGATCAGGATAAGACAACCTAACAAATATTACAAGAGAGTTCTTGTTGTGCTTTTCACTGTTTTCAGGTATCACAGTAGGAATTTTGCATAGGTAAATTTTAAGTCTTGAAGGATTTGTAAGAAATGTTTGCGGGAACTGAATAAATGTTTAACACCGAGTCAGTTTTCTCAAACATTTCTTACAAGTCCTTCAAAACTTAAAATTTACCTATGCAAAATTCCTGCTGTGGTCACAGAAACTTTGATAGTGCATCAACCAGGCTTTATGTTTTTGCTCAGTTGTATATATCGTCATCTTTAATTCCTTAGTTACTGATTACGGCATTCTTCGCTATCGCAGCTGGTACTCGTCAAAGAAGCAGATGGCTGGTAAGACGAGGTTTCTCTTTCTTAACAAAACTTAACTGCATAGCTTAACACCGTTTATTATATAAACATAAGTGTTATATAGAGTTTTTGGCCACTGAGAAAAATCGTATTTAAACACACGTAAAAAATACGATATTTTTACGTGTGAAAATATCATTTGTTGTAAAACGCATGGACACAGACGTTTTATTGTTTTTCACTGAATTTTGTTTATATATTAAACAGAAAAATACATGGGTGCTTGGAAATACCAGATTTATTTCTCGTGTAGAACATGATATCTCATGTTCAACACTCGAAATAAATCTGGTATTTCCAAGCACCCATGTATTATTCTCTATATATTGCCGTGGTCACCACGCTTGGCTTTTCAAACATGGGAGACACTCGTTCAAACCATGACATCAGTAAATGGTTAGACGCTCGCGTCTTCTCGGAATCTCGGAGAAGGACGTTAAAATCGTAGGTATCTCGGATCCCCCATCAATGGACGACTTGCGCTTTAGACTAAATTTTTATCTAAGTAAGAACAACGAAATCTATCACCACAGCTGGAAGGAACGTCTTGGAATTAGTAATATTCCAAAGTTTGGTTGCGAAATGTTGTAAAATACGGAAAATATAGCCCTTCAGAGTTGGCAAATTTGTATACTTTTGTATTACCTGCGTGAATTGGTAACTAAATTAGTTGCCAATTTCCGCACCTAATAGAAATGTATACAAATTTGCCAACTTCGCAGAGCTATAATTCCCGTGTTTTACAACATTTCGCAACCAAATTTTGCAGTTCTTCTAATTTTGATAACTTCTTTCCGAAAATATCCTTTGTTATTCCCAGATTAATTAAAAAATTTTCTAAAGCGCAAGTCGTCAGTTGGACAATAGCACGTTAGGAAATCTGCTCACTCCAATAAGTGAAAAACTTAATGAACTCAAAAACATACAGTTGCCATTAAACTAACCTTTTCATGACTGATGTTTCCAGGTTATTAGTGCGATGTTCTTGTTCTTCGTTTCAATTCTGGTCTCACTCTTCGCTTTGGTCATCGAGAGCTTTGATTGGGTCAAGCATAAGAACAGTGTACGAAGCAAAGGATTTTGGGAATCAGAAGACTACGTCTGCATTTCGCCAACGCCTACGTCATGTGTTTGTAACCATCCTGGTGGAGGTAAAGACGATAACTCAGATATAATTATCATTTTAAATATGATGGTGAACTCAGGGTTTATTTTAAGAAAAATTTAGAATTGCACATATTAGGGATGTTACGAAGCATCATGTGTTTGACTGAGGGGTGAAAGGGTGTTTGACTGGGGGTCAAAAAATTTTTATCTGTATTTAATGTCATAAATTTATAGTTAACGTTGTGAATTATGATAGACTCTTAATTTGTATATAGGTGGCACAATAAATATGTGGTTGGGTGGGCCAGACAAACTCTATTCTGGTTGGGGGCGCTACAGGTAGGGGGTGTTCTCCCAAATTTGAATCTAGAGGCTTGTAATTTCTGGCAAGGTTTTGTTTCACCCAACCACCCACAAAAACTATTTCAAAACATGTAACTGGGAATCATGAATACTCAATATATAATAACCTTAGGCAGCAAAGAATATTAGGTTCTCCCACTCTAATCTCTTTTGGATAGCTTCGTTCGCCCCAATTTTACATCCTGTTCCATTAACCCCAGCACGTATGTCCTCTCCCAGAAAACGTTTAAATTTTTGATGCTCAATGACAGCATTTCTGGCATCTGGAGCATCCACAAGGAAAACAAGTAAATGAGAAGACTGTTTTGAGGTTATATTTTTGTTAATTTGGTGACTGCACATTTGAGTTTTAAGAACTGCACAAATGGGTTTAGAACTGCACATTTTGTGTAGAACTGCACGTTAAAATAAACCCTGGGTGAACTTGGGGCTTCGATGGCGCAATTTTCAACACCTTTCACCTCTAAGATCGAGGGTCTACCGAAAGTCGTGGGTTTTCTCCGGGTACTCTGGTTTCCACCCACAGGGAATGTTGACAGGGTGGGTTGGGATTAGCCCCCTAACTCACTTTTCCACAGTAGCTGTACTCCGTGATCAGACATGAGTCATAAGGCTAAGAAAGCCTTCAAGTCGATCACGTTGAGCTGCGTCCTTCGTAATTCAGCTTAGCTCTCAGCCGCAAGTAAGAATGATTAGCACACCCCAACATACTACTTACTTATTGATTAAAACTATTAACAGTTATTCGAGCATGCAAAGGTATGAATTAGGCTTAAGATTGAGGGTAACATATCACAGCTGTATTTAAATTGAAGTTTTTGATAATCATCCTGGAATCGTAAACCAGCCAATCATAGTTAACCACAACCTAGAGTATGCATGATAATCCTTGAGACGTTCATTTCTCAAAATATGTTTATTTAAATTATGTTTATAGCTTCACAAACAATTTCTGAAAGTTTGGACTGCGATACATTAGAAAGATTGGATTATCTTTATGGTGCATTGGTATGCTGTATCTTGGCGGCCGTTTTTCTGGCCCTTTCGTCCATAATCATTGTCATGATATTTATACCAATTCGATCTTTCACCGTGCCAGTGGTAAGATGATAATAATTTTACTTATTCTGATTCTATATTTCTGGAAAAAGTTTCGCATTCTATACGGTATTTCTAAAATTAAGAGTTGCTCTCGCGTGGCGGCTAGCTCAGCTATGCATTTTCCCCGCACACGTTGGGAAAACTATACGGCTCGGCAACGACATCGTTGATAACATTGTTTGTATTTCCCGCCATTGTTACCATTTTGACCGAAGTCACGAGAAGAAACTATGGGTTCTCATTGGCTATAGTTAATTCAAGCAGCTCAGCACTAAGCTAGCTCGCAACATCCGCAGACGTTGAGATTTTTTCCTCGTGAAATGAAAAAAATCAAACACGTCAGATACTTTCCTCAAGGCGTCAACTTTTAGAGTGCGATTATATAGAATGTATTTAGTAATTGTTCCGCATATAATTTAACTATATGTATACTACAGTAAGTCCAGTTGAACTGATGAACATTGTTTACCTGATAGATATGAGAAATAGACAAAAATTAAACCATATAGCTAAGTATTTTCTCAGGAAGGACTATTCGCAAAAGCCTTTTGGATTTATTATAGTCCTTCTTCCAAATATGTAGGCATAAATAAATAATATAACTCGGGAAATGTAATGTACGATAAGCATACTTGGAATAGATATATCCGAATACAAAAAAAAAGAAGGGGTCAAATCCTCACGAAACTATTCACACACGAGAAAAACACGCTAAGCTAGACGCCACACGAGGCGGTAGCTTGGCAAGTTTCTCTCATGTACAGCAGGCTTAATTCTTCACATGTCAACTTCTGTAGCCAAAGAAACGAATCAAGAAGATCACAGTCTTGGAAGACAAACCAGAACCCGTTGTTGTCTACAAGCCTGCACCAAAGAGAGTCGTCGAGCCGAGACCGAAAGTGGAGGAGATCGTCATCAGAGAGCGGAAACCACGGCCCGTGCGCATGCTCGTCGAACCCAGACCCGAGCCCAAGACGGAAGTGGAAGAAATCGTCATAAGAGAACGCCAACCGCAACCAGTTCGTACGATCATTTACGATCAGCCCCGACAACAGAGGCCCGAGGTATCACCACAGAGTACTTACATACAGAGGTCTTACTTCTGCGGGAAAACTGTAAGGTAGTTTTTACTACCTGGCGGCCATGTTCTTAACAAGTGCCCTAAAGAGAGGCATTCACCCCCTGGAACATTAAATTTCAATATGTTTTCACGAGGGGGGTGACCTGGGCACTTGCTAAGAACAAGGCGGGCTGAAAAAACATTTACGCTAAATTAACCTGAGGTGAAACCTCTGCGTATGTAAGTACTCTGTGTTATCACACTATTCACCTTGGGCAAGCAATTTTTTTTTAATCACCGACGTCAACCGAATATTGGTATAACTAATAGACCTTTAATTACGTCACGACTAACACTGTTTTCAACTTAGGACCACCTTAAATGGAATGGATTTCAAGTTTGTTTCTCACGGGCTATGGTCAGAGGAGCAGAACATCCTTCTTCAACATATGCATAAAAAAGAATTTTGGATTTTGACTGTTAAATGTGGAAATAAGCTTAAACCATAGATATCTTATATACACTAGATAGTGCGTCTAATTATTCTGCAATTCAAAAATTGAAGCCATGATTGCAGACTCAGGATATTCTCATGAAATGAGAAGACTCGTATGTTTTCTATTTCTTATACAGGGAACTTAAACATTAAGTTAAACCTATTCCAAATACATTTTCAAACTATTCAAATGATGAAAGTTATTGTTGTTTTTTAAGCGTTTATTAGCGAGTGGGAAACTTCAACATGGCCGCCATCTATTCAAATGGGGGTAACCGCTGGAATATTCTTGGCTTCAATTTTACTAAAAGAGATGCGCTATCTAGTCTATACAAGATTATATGAATAATATGCGCTTTAGAAACCACTGCAAGTTTTCTTGCACTTCCGGTTCCGTGTATCCCAGGGCCTATGAAGGTCGCGCGCGGCCTAGCGGCCCTGGGAACGAGGTGGTTATGTCCAATATTGTAGATCCATCCATGACTGAGTTCTTGAGATGCAAAGCTCTTTTTTTAGGGGGGGGAGGGGAGTGAGGATAAACATTATCTTAAACATCTGCTATGCCTTTAAGTTGTTGCCGTATGTTGTATATCGTGTACATGCATAACATTCACTAACAGAAACAGTAACTCGTCCATGCTTTTACAGTTACAACGTGTTTCTGTTAACGTTGTAGTGTTGGTCAACGTCAACTGGTGTGTCTAGCTCGAGCTTTATTACGAAGAACAAAAGTTTTGGTTCTGGATGAAGCAACGGCTGCAGTAGATTTAGAGACTGATGAACTTATTCAACAAACTATTCGTAAAGAATTTTCAGACTGTACTGTTCTTACTATTGCACATCGACTTAACACTATCATGGATTATACAAGGTAACTCTTCACTTAAATTTTATAAACTCTAGGTGGGTCTAGGTGCAGGCTCCCCCAGAAAATTTTCAACTGCACCCCCCGCCCAGAGAGCATCAGGCCCGTACGCTTATGGGTATAGCTTCAATAACTATAATGGATAGATTTTATCTTTTACTGTAAGTAATCATCTTTTGTTGTTTAGGATAATGGTTTTATCCAGTGGACACATTATAGAATTCGACTCTCCGAAAAGTTTACTCGAGAAACAGGGCGCGTTCTATGGCATGGCAAAAGATGCAAAATTGGTTTAGTACTTTATTCAAACAACCACGAACAACATAAAAAAGCTTCGTGTTGTTGTAAAATATTATTAATTGTTATATATATTGAGTATAGCATGCGCTTCGGCTTACAGTTGAGTAAATTTGAAAAGTATATAGTCTTTAAAGATTGATTACGTATACCAGGTGGGGCAAAAAAGTACGACTGTTTGAATTGCTGAAAAATCAAAACTAAAAAAGCAATGACACTAAAACAAGTTTATTGGTATTCAGCGATATCCAACTTAAATTTTAATATGCGCCATGCCCATTTCGATGCCATATTGAAAAAAATTCATGCATTTAAACAGGTTTAAACATTTTTGGAACTGACGAAATTAGCTAAAAATGGCTTGTTAAATATTAATATATACAACATGCAATAATTTGTGTTAAGACGCATTATACTTTATTGTCAGTACGTTCGCGCTTGTGGTTAAAAACAATCGTCTATATTCATCAGTAAATGCATGTCCCCAGCACGAATGCAACGTCTTGCCCGTGAAATCATACAATCGAAAGAATTTTGGATCATTTGCTGTTTCAAGTTGCGGCATGCTGTATAACAATCGCTTCACGTGGCTCTTTCAAATTGCGCTTCAGAACCGGAGTTATTTGAATCGTGTCGAGATTTCTTTCAACAAAGTGTGGATCCAGAACAAGTGACCTCGTCAAACCAACCCACTAATTGAAACAATAATAGCAAGAAAATGCAGGTATAAAGGTTATTCAATTGGTTTTAATAGGACCTTTTCAGCTAATTCTAGGCGTTTCCAAAAATGTTTGTTTAAGTAAGAGTTAATTACCGAGAAGGAGGGCTTTATGCTATATACAGCCCCGAGAACGCGAAGCGTTCGAGGGCTTTATATAGCATAAAGCCCGACATTCGAGGTAATTAACTGACTTATTTCATGATTGAAGAGGTTTTCTAACAAAGTTTTATTCTTTTTTTTCGATTTCGACAAGTATTTTTCTAGTTTTCTCGCTTATTTCTTGACTAATTAGGGCTGTATGGTATTCAAGGGCATTATGCTATATACAGCCCGCGGTACATCAAAGAAAACCGAGTCAATTATGAAATAAACACAGTTATCTCAGTCAATATTGCATGAAAACGTACAAGACATATATCAAAATGTAAGTTAAACATCGTGGAATATACGGTGACGTATTTAAGTGTAATAGCTCTTTTACTTTTTAAGTTATAGTAAGTCAAACTGTCGTACTTTTTTTTTGCCCCACCCGGTATATTTTAAAATTATTAAAATTATTAAAATTATTAAATTTTATTTAATAATTAAAATTATTAAACTAATAGTTTAATACACAGATAGTTTGCTGCATGCATGGTAATAGGAAGATGATTGTCGACAATAGGTTTATTATTTGTTTTCAAAAAGTGTACATATGCACGTATATTGAGTATATAGAAATGTACGGTAGGTAGTAATTTTTCAAATGAAAAGCATCTTACTGCAAGGTTAGGTTTATGCAGTAAATATAGCTAGTTTGTAGTGTGTATGGAATGCATACATCGGGCCGAATGTGGAGGGAATTTTCGAGCTTCATAATTCCATGTTCGAAACGAGAGTATGGAAAAATACCCGAAAAATGATGTTGGAAAAATACATAAAAATTCCGTATTAAATTGTTAAAACTGAAAATAACGTATTCCATGTCGCATTTTGAAAACTTTCCTTCTGCTTGACATACATTTTCTGCTTTTCGAATAGCGATTAGCGGATCTTCTATACTGTTAGCTCGTGTCCATTTCTTGAAACGATTCAATTGATTTGTGAGCTCACAAGAAAATACTCAGAATTTTTAAATTTACTATACTGTGCTACAGCAACTGTCCAGTCACGTATACGTGATAAAAAGCCGACATAAACTTTATGAACAAAAGGTAATGTAAAACGTAACGGTGAACATGCGGATTCGACCATCTTAAATGGTAACGTTGGGATAGTAGCGTTGCCGAGGAAAGTGGACAGTAAGGCTCTCTCATGCACCACACCATGGAAACCCTGCACCCCCTCTTTGTAGATGAGGCTACGAAGTTCTTCTGAAACTGGCAGTGGTAGATAGATAGATAGAAAACCTTTATTTATCCACGCTAACCCTGTCAACCGAGGCTGATTTCCACAGGGGGCGTGTAAAAAGGAATTACCAAAGTATAGTATTTAAAGCTATTTACAATCTATAATATCAACAAAGTTATATAAACTATAAGTAAGTCATATATATATATATATATATATATATATATATATATATATATATATATATATATATATATATATATATATATATATATATATATATATATATATATATATATATATATATATATTTACAAGTTTTTTTAGGTTTTCAGTTTCTTAGGATCTTGTTTTAGTTAAAGAATGTGAGTAGCAATTTTATTTTGAAAACGTGACAGGGATTTGCTTTCCCTAATTTGATTTGGAATAAACTTTTGGGTAATCGCTCCATGTTTCGCGCACCAATATAGTTATAGTGTATTGAAAAGTTCACTAGATACCTCCATACACATATATACACACCCTAACCCTAAACCTAACCCTAATACCTAACCCTAACCTATATTGGTGCGCGAAACATGGAAGATAACCGACTTTGGTAAAGATTTGTATCAGGCCTATTTATTCATAGGCCTGATCGCAGGTTATTTTGGGATAGGTAATGGGACTTCTACATGCGTTGGGATCTCTCGTTTGTGGCTTACTTATAAGCATTATTTATTTCATGGATTTCATATATCTTCAACGGGGTCTGGAAATTAGACCATACCATGAAATATTGTATATTTATAATGCGTGTGCTGTTTTGTGTTTTTTGCATCTCAATTCATCAATGGAGAAGTCCCCTTACACACTCTACAGTCAACAGTATTTTTACTTTGTACTTCAAGTATTTTTAAGGATAATTTGTACTTAAGTACGTTTTGCCTTCAGTACTTTTTACTCTTACTCAAGTCGTTTTATTGTTTTTACTCTTACTCAAGTCGTTTTATCGTTTTATTCGAGTACAAATTCAAAGTAATTTAGGCACCACTGGAAACTGGCCAGGTATTCCAAAGTTGCTCCAGATGATGATGGTGGAAATTTTGAGTGAAAATTACATTCCTAACCCTGCTAATGGAGCAGATCTTCGAAAACTCGTCAACATTTAGTTCTATCGGTGAGATGCCCAAAATTAATTAATGGCTTAGACTTTGTTGCATTGGTATACGAACTTGGAAGGTGTGTGGTTTAGTAATTGTTAGCAAAAATTTGTGTCTCTATACACGGAGTAAATCTATTATAATGAAGCTCCCCAGAGACATTATTGAATCAGAACACCGCACAGGAATCGTAGGACCTCTAGTTCAATTCCTGCTGAAGCGCAAAATTCAAAATTGGGCAAATTTAGAGAAAGCAATTGAGGAGAGATGAAAGAAAATCGGCACGTGTATTGAAAATATCTGATCAAGTATGAAAGATGTTAGGTCAGGACATTTTTTGCCTCCTGTCGCCAATATTTCCGAGCATTAGCCCCCTCCCCCCCCAAAAAAACTGTTCCACCACTGGGGGCTATACTTGCATTTCTCGCAGCTGGTCTCTGTAAGGGCAAAATATGCATATCATTTTCCCTCGAAATTAATTTCCACGTACAACAACTCATTCTGCATGGCCTTTAACATTCTGCATGGAGTCACGGAACTTGTCGTATCTTGTGAGCACTGAGCAGAAATAGTAAAATTATCCAATCCGAGAATGTAAATGAATTAACCGATCAGGGTTCTTGCCTCTACGACTTGCGAGGTATACATTGACAATTTTTGACAATATACATTGGGACAATCTAGTTTTTACATGCATTCAGATGTATTATAGCATTTATACATCTGGGTAATGTAATGATATACTTCCGGTTTGAGACCCCCCATGGGGCCTCGTGTTGTTGTTGTACTTATCTATTATCAAGTGTAGAATATATGTCGGAACTGCCTGTGGAAATACAAAGCTCGAAGACTATTACATGGTGTCAGGAGTGCGATTTTACTGAATATCGACCGTATAAGCTACAGTCATGGCTCTTAGCGGTATTGAACTTCCTGTGATGCAATGGGACGGCGAAAATCTCAAGGAAAATTGGCGACGTTTTAAACAACATGTCGAATTAATGTTCTCTGGACCGCTGAGATCAAAAAACGAAGCGGAGAAATGCAGCTACCTACTCATCTGGGTAGGGCAAAAAGGCAGGGATATATACAACACATGGTCGGATATCTCAGAAACAAACAGAGGTAAATTAAAAACATATTATGATCGATTCGAAAAGCATGTCAATCCGAAAGCAAACCCCGTCTTTGCCAGATATAAGTTTCATAACAAAATACAAGGCCCCACCGAGCCAGTAGAGGAATTCACAACAGAGTTACAACTCCTAGCCCAAGATTGTGAGTTCCACGACCAAAATGAAATGGTTAGAGACCGAATTGTGTTTGGGACAAATTCAAACAAAGTGAGGGAAAAACTTATAATGGAAGGGGCAGAACTCACGCTAGAAAAAGCTATACAAATCGCAAGAACCTATGAAAAAACCCAAGCCCAACTCAAAAGCATGTCTCCTGAAAACAAGGAAGAAAGCATTCACTTAGTTAGACAGCAAAACCAAGGCAGTCAATCTCAAAGATCGAGACAATCACTTGACCAAAAGTACCCCCAGCAATCACTTGAACAAAAGTACCCCCAGCAAATAAGCCAGTGTGGGAACTGTGGGAGAAAGCACTACAGATCAGAGAAATGTCCAGCAAAAGGGCAAACCTGTTACCTATGCAACAAGCCCAACCATTTTGCACAAGTATGTCGATCAAAAGGGAGGCGGAGCCAAATACACCCTATCGAGAAGGTAGAATGTGATCCCTCAATGACCCAATTTGAAACTCTAACTTTTGAATCAATTACTGTAGCTAATGTTAACCACCA